AAATGACGGAACGATGTTAATGTAACTGTGAAATGAAGGAACGATGAACAATGTAACTGTGAAATGAAGGAACGATGTTAATGTAACTGTGAAATGAAGGAACGATGAACATGTAACTGTGAAATGAAGGAACGATGAACAATGTAACAGTGAAATGAAGGAACGATGAACATGTAACTGTGAAATGAAGGAACGATGAACAATGTAACAGTGAAATGAGTGAACGATGAACAATGTAACTGTGAAATGAAGGAACGCTATACAATGTAACTGTGAAATGAAGGAACGATGAACATGTAACTGTGAAATGAAGGAACGCTATACAATGTAACTGTGAAATGAAGGAACGATGAACATGTAACTGTGAAATGAAGGAACGATGAACAATGTAACTGTGAAATGAAGGAACGCTATACAATGTAACTGTGAAATGACGGAACGATGTTAATGTAACTGTGAAATGAAGGAACGATGAACAATGTAACTGTGAAATGAAGGAACGATGTTAATGTAACTGTGAAATGAAGGAACGATGAACAATGTAACTGTGAAATGAAGGAACGCTATACAATGTAACTGTGAAATGAAGGAACGCTATACAATGTAACTGTGAAATGACGGAACGATGTTAATGTAACTGTGAAATGAAGGAACGATGAACAATGTAACTGTGAAATGAAGGAACGCTATACAATGTAACTGTGAAATGAAGGAACGATGAACAATGTAACTGTGAAATGAAGGAACGATGTTAATGTAACTGTGAAATGAAGGAACGATGAACATGTAACTGTGAAATGAAGGAACGATGAACAATGTAACAGTGAAATGAAGGAACGATGAACATGTAACTGTGAAATGAAGGAACGATGAACAATGTAACAGTGAAATGAGTGAACGATGAACAATGTAACTGTGAAATGAAGGAACGCTATACAATGTAACTGTGAAATGAAGAAACGCTATACAATGTAACTGTGAAATGAAGGAACCATGAACAATGTAACAGTGAAATGAGTGAACGATGAACAATGTCCAAGTGAAATGAAGAAACGATGTAAAATGTAAATGAAAAAATGTAAAAATGTAAGGTGTGAAATGAAAGTATGTAAAAATGTAAGGTGTTAAATGAAAGTATGTAAAAATGTAAGGTGTGAAATGAAAGAATGTAAAAATGTAAGGTGTGAAAATAAAGTATGTAAAAATGTAAGGTTTGAAATGAGAGAACGCAATGTAAGGTGTGAAATGAAAGAACGCAATGTAAGGTTTGAAATGAAAGAACGCAATGTAAGGTTTGAAATGAAAGAACGCAATGTAAGGTGTGAAATGAAAGAACGCAATGTAAGATGTGAAATGGAAGAACGCAATGTAAGGTGTGACCATGGGATGGGAAAATATTGAAGTTGGAAAACAATACAACTGGAGAACAATGTAATGAAGTGATCATGTGATTGAAATTTGGCTAGAAATACAAGGTCACGGGAGAACAATGCGGCTGGAAAATAATAAAATGAAAAACGTCGATATTTTGAGAGAACACTGATTGGAAACCTTTTTACACGGAGATATACGTGCTGGGAAATAATTGTGGTGAAGACTCTGGAGAAAGCGCCACTATACGGAAATGACAAGCGTTGAACTTCCATTAAAACCTTTCTAATTTTACCACATAAACGACTCTTTTTAAATTGGTTTTGACATAGTTTTTGAAAGTACATTAAAGTGACACTCTTACAACGCTTATCGAAACGCCACATTACAGAACGGCAGTATCGCATGACAACAAAGTTAGTTGAAAAAACAAAAATCAGAATTAAATTGTTAAAACAAATCGATAGGTATGATTTAAACATGACTCCATGTTCCTCCATTAGACGCTAGGAGAGGGGAGACATGAGACGCTAGCAAGCACACTCTTAAAGCTGAAACATCAATACGAAATGCGTTACGAATTTTGTGAGATAGGAAAGATGTGCTATTTCTAATTTGAAACTTTGCAAATGTGGTAATAATTTTGAGACTCTGTCCTAAATAGACATTTCTACGAGATTAACAGCTAACTCAGTCATTTGCAGAGTAAACGAAAAATGTAAAAGTCTGAATTGGTTGTAGGCTTCTCTATTCCACAGAGAGTTTGTCAAGCAGTGACTGCACTTGGCGGCGATGGAATCACTTAAGCACCGGACAGTGTGCAATCTTTCCACCCTTTTTTCTTCAAATCAACTTTTGTTAGTTGCTGCAGCAGGCCTGTCAATGTGTCTGCCATGTTTTTCTGGCCCCATTAACAGAAATAAGATAAAGGAAACGAAACAGGCCCTGGGATGGACGCTCTACAGTGAAAATTAAATTGCTTTCTGGCCCCTGCGCCAGCTCTCTATCGGGGCCGAACTTTGCCGCTGCCGGAACAGCGGAAGAAGCGCGGCGGAGGGATACTAACCAGATAGACCGCTGCGGAGGGATACTGGGCAGATAACACTCGTCTTAGAATCAATCAACACCGCGGCGTATAATGAGGAGCATTACCGGAGGACAACATCGCCTCCAAAGCGTTAAATAAAAACAGGGGCATATACAGAATACAGCATTTAGGTGTGTATTAATATCATTGTGCGGTATGGAACTGCAGACAGAAAAGACTTGTAATCGGCAGAGATGTTAACAGACATACCAAGTAGAATTAGGCATCCAACATCTCCAGATATTCACGCAATTCTATTAAGCCTACAAACATTAACTCCGACGTGGAGGGAATTATGGAATTTTGCCGAAAAGGTGCAAACTTTTTACATCGATCGACGATACGGCCAAATAAGCCAGCAAAGCCTGCTTGAATGACCGGCACACTGAGAAGTGAGATTGCCGCTGTGGGTGGGGTATGGAACGGGGAGGGGGAATCACAGCCATCTCTCGTCATCTTACCCCCAAGGCACCTGCGTTAATGACATCGAATATTTTTGAAACTATTTAAGAATTAACTGTCACTCACTTCAGCCTGGCAAACAAGTTATATGATATTTGACTTATTACACAATTTGGGTTTGGTGATTTGTGGTGGTCTCGTTCCAGAGACAGGGCCGAGAAGTGAAATTATTTCCAGCGACGGAAATGTCAAGGGATTAGAAATCTAAGCCTTCAAATTTGTGGTATTGACAGTAAGTGACAGGAATGATGTGATCAACATTAAACAGCTCCACGCCAGTGTCGAGTGTTTACAGCCCATATTGAGTGGCTAGAGCGGCACTCCAACCGACGCTCAGGGAAAGCATGGCTCGATACTTTGTGCTGTACACGTGTCGGCTGTAGACACAACAGAGCCTGAAGACGCTCTCTGAGCTCGGAGTAACACCAAGTGTCGGCTGTAGACACAACAGAGCCTGAAGACGCTCTCTGAGCTCGGAGTAACACCAAGTGTCGGCTGTAGACACAACAGAGCCTGAAGACGCTCTCTGAGCTCGGAGTAACACCAAGTGTCGGCCGTAGACACAACACAGCCTGAAGACGCTCTCTGAGCTCGGAGTAACACCAAGTGTCGGCTGTAGACACAACAGAGCCTGAAGACGCTCTCTGAGCTCGGAGTAACACCAAGTGTCGGCTGTAGACATAACACAGCCTGAAGGCGCGCCCTGAGCTCGGAGTAACACCAAGTGTCGGCTGTAGACATAGCACAGGTTGTAGGCGCGCCCTGAGCTCAACCGTCGGCTGAAGGCGCGCCCTGAGCTCGGGGTAACACCAAGTGTCAGCTGTCATAACACAGGCTGTAGGCGCGCCCTGGGCTCGGAGTAACACCAAGAGTCGGCTGTAGACATAACACAAGATGTAAGCGCGCCCTGGGCTCGCAGTAACACCAAGTATCGGCTGTAGGCGCGCCCTAGGCTCGGAGTAACACCAAGGGTCGGCTGTATGTGCGCCCTGGGCTCGGAGTAACACCAAGTATCGGCTGTAGGTGCGCGCTGGGCTCGGAGTAACACAACGTATCGACTGTAGGCGCACCCTAGGCTCGAAGTAACACTAAGGGTCGGCTGTAGGGGCGCCCTGGGCTCGGAGTAACACCAAGGGTCGGCTGTAGGCGCGCCCTGGGCTCGGAATAACACCAAGTGTCGGCTGTATGTGCGTCATGGGCTCGGAATAACACCACGGGTCGTCTGTAGGCGCGCCCTAGCCTCGGAGTAACACCAAGGGTCGGCTGTAGTCGCGCCCTGGTCTCTGAGTAACACCACGGGTCGGATGTAGACCCAACATAGGCTATATGAGCGCCCTGAGCTCGAAGTAACACCAAGTGTCGGCTGTAGGTATAACGCAGGCTGTAGGCGCGCCCTGGATTCGGAGTAATACCGAGTGTCGCTGTAGACATAGCACAGGCTGTGTGGTGGGTTGGGGGGTGGGGTGGCGTGGGGTTATTGCATGTCATCACGTAACAATCATAATGTGTTACTCTTAATAGTATTGACACTATGACGAGTACAACAGACTTCCTGACAGAGAGAGGCGGAGGGGTAGTCTTGTGGTTAAAGCGTTCGCTCGTCACGCCAAAGACCCGAATTCGATTCCCCACACGGGTACAAAGTGCGAAGCCCCTTTCTGGTGTACCCCCGCCGTGATATTGTTGGAATATTGCTAAAAGCGGCTTAAAACCAACTCACCCACTCACCCTTGACAAAGGGTCTACCAAGTAGCATCAGATGCCGACCCTGCTGACGATATAGACAATAGACGCGATATGTGAGTGTCACATAATTTAAAGAAACTAGATATCCCCAACCCTCTTCCTCCTCGTCATGATATAACATGAAGTCCATATTAAGTCTTTGATGGACAAAACACAAAGCCATGAAACCTAGAGAATAACGACGTTTCAGGGCCTCATGTTGCACCTTCCACACCAGATGAGAAGAAGTCCTAAAAAATCATTAATTCACTAATAAAGAAGGGAGGACAAAGGACAGGCCTAGAAGTTGTTAATATCTAAAACAGTGTCAAGTCTTCATTTCGTCTATACTTACCTAGAATTAGTTTAGCGGGAGACTCTGGAGGCACCCAGAAGATGACCAGCGTGAGCAAGGACAGTAGTGCGCATGGCAGGATGAGAATAAATGTGTAGAACGCCACCTTCCGGCGTATTCGTAGTTTGAATGTGAGGTCAGGGTATGGCTCTGTACAGCATGCGTACCGCTTGACGTTTCGGACGGCCTCGTTCTCGATGATAAACCACTCGTTGCTGGGAATATAGTCTGTTAGATCCATGGAGGTTTCGTTCCTGATGAAATGGATGTCCAGTTTCAGGCCATTGTATGTCCACGACCCGAACTTGAGCGTACATGTTTGTTCGTCGAAAGGAAAGTATTTGGTATCGAAGTTACAGGATGACCGGATGATGGCCTGAGGCATCCACAGGAGATTTCCATCCGGGTACACCACAACCAGTGCATCACGCTGTTCCTTCAGACGGTCGTCAGCACTAGAAAAAGAAAAGAACACAGGTTAACATACAGACAACAGCCATTGCAGATATACTACATATGAATATTAATTACACGAAAACAGATAAACATGTTTTGTTTGTTTGTTGATTAACGCCGAAATAAGCAATATTTCAGCTCCACGACTGCGATCTATAAATAATCGAGTCTGGACCAGACAATCCAGTAATTGAAATCATGAACATCGATCCACGCAATTGGGATATGATGACATGCAATCAATCAAGTCCACGAATCTGACCATCCGATCCATTTAGTTGCCTCTTACGACAAGCATAGGTTGCTGGGGTCAATACTCTTACCCGGAATCCCAATGCTTGTTGGATTTACCATATTAAACTCCATCGTCGACTACACAGCACTACTCGACACCAAAGTTTCGTTTCGGAAGTGATGACCCCATCACCATCTCTCCTTTTACCAACTATTTCTCTCACTTTGGAGCTTGCAATAAAAAAACCAATCAAATGACACTACTGAATATTCGAATTGAGAAACTTGTATCTATAAAACTGAAGCAGGCGAAAACGTTTGACTGAATATTGATATGTAGGGAAGAAGGCCCTTGTGCTACTAGGAGTTCCGATCTGTGTTTTAAAGGGAAGCAACAAGACGAGGCGAGATACAGCTATATAGCTGCTTGTTTAAGTGTTAAAGTATAGTAAACTACGGCTATAACGAACACGCTTATAACAAACTGACGGATATAACGAACTATCTTTTTAGTCCCGACTATTTGCTGTAGTTACGCTGTATATATGCTTATAACGAATTACGGTTATAACGAACTAAAATCAGTAGTCCCTTTGAGTTTGTTATATAACCGTAGTGTACTGTAGTTTGATTGGATGGCTATTTTAACGTTTCATTAGAGCTGGACTTACAGTGCTCGTGGCAAGGGTACCTTTCATGATGCATTCTTTGACATAAGGTTATCAAGATAGCATGAGGCAGCCGAGGAAATACGTTGCTATCCCGACCAGGGATAGTGCTGTATTGTTCTACAGATTACTGGGACGGTTTCTTAGCTCACCTGAATAATGAATCAGTGTACATTTACAGGATAGTGAGAGTTTCGTTGACAGTGTGATATCTCACCTGGATAGTGTGGGTCAATGTATTGTTTATCTGGGTATTAAATTTAGCAAGGTACCTCAATTGGATAGTGAGTCAGTGTACTGTTTTTTTTCTGAGTCATAGATTTAGCAAGGTAGCTCACCTGGACAGTGGGTTAGTGTCTTCATGTATTCAAGAAAAATACTCACTTCTCGACTCATTACAGAAATATCATAAAGGTAGAATTACGTTTGCAAGTACATTTAACTAATGTGATGCCCAACGCTTGATAGCTTTACATTTATGTAAAGTATTTAAAATAAGATCGCGGAAAATTGTAATGCGCTGGACATGTGAATTTATCTTTCAACTGTACTCTAGGTTATGTGACCTAAATAATGAAATAATCTTGATTAACTGATTAACTGGACACGCTCATGGTGCCACGTGACCTCTGTTGGACACACCCCCTCGAGCTTGCTAGAGAACACGAGGTCCAAGATTGAACCAATTCGTAGAATGGCGAATGGGCCGAAGTGAGGTTGTGTTTGGCCAATTCCAATCACAGCATGTTTTGGGTCAAGATGAAGAAGCGTTGCCCGAGGCAATAGCAGCCCCGGCAAAACGACAGGCGTCATGGTCTCTCTGTCTAAGGGACATCACTCTTTCTGCCAGTGGACTGGCTATTTATCAGACGGTAAAACGTTGGCATCGGAAGTTCGATCCCCGATAGGTCATATTTTTCTTATTAGCTTGTAGAAACAGCAACGAAGTTTATTAAACGACAATATTATGTACAATGCATTTTAAATACTGCTGCAATATACCTCTTCCTTCACCCAATGCATAAACTAAAACAAGGTCATCAACTATTGGTGGCTCCCTGAAATGGTAGTTAAAGCGGTGCTCACCCCCTAAAACACTCGCATACTTACAGAATAAAATCCATTATAATAGTTTTCCATAATTCTTAATAACACAATGAATGTGAGTCAGCTGATTCCTTTGACAACGCTTTGATTTGGATGGGTCAAAATACGATAGAAATATGCGATCGTCAGTTTGAACTAATCTCCCTTTGCCTCAGAGTGCGAGTGGGTGAGTGAGGCATTGTATTACACACATCTATCATGACATTAGATTAGCTGTAACAAGAAAATCGACATTTCCCGAGTTCTGCCTACAGCGACCACAGCTGCTTTACGTTGTGCTTCCTCAAACTAACTTGATATTCTTATGGTATTGATATTGTTACTCACGTTCCATGTTTTTGAGGACTTTCTGTGAAGCTAGGTTTAAAATTCAATGTTTGATTAATTTCATGGATAGATAGAGCCAAAGGAAGCTGAGCTAATTTGTTTCAGTAACACTGTATGAAGGCGTTGTTTTAATTGGTTTGCATAAGAAAAGGAATTATTGCCTATGAATGCGCTGAAAATAGAACCTGTCCTTGCATTGCCATAGACAACGTACTATCCGGCTCTTTATCAGTATAGTTGAGTCTTGTTTGAAATTAAATGAACTAGATAAATAAACCTTAATCCCTACTAATTAGTTTATTTTACATGCACAACGATAAGGTCAAATGAGTCAACTTCGTCGTCTAATTTGTTTCATACCAAGAGTGAGTGAGTGAGTTAATGCTTTACGTCACATCAGCAATATTTCAGCCATATCGTGACGATTCATACCTAGAAAGTAGAATACTGTACATGTTGGCTATTACAACGACAACAACACAACCCGAGTACAGACCAAACAGTCGTCAACAGGGAACAAGTAGATGCTACCCAATTACTGACGATTGCATGCTACTTCTTAATGTTTCAAAAGTGAGTGAGTTGGTGTTTACGCCGCCTTTAGGAATATTCCAGCAATATCACGGCGGGGGACACAGGAAGTGAGCTTCACACATTGTACCCATGTTGGAAATCGAACCTGGACCGAGGGCGTGAGGAGAGAAAGTTTTAATAACAAGGCCACCCCGCCGACCCAAATGTTTCAAAGAACAGACCTTACCATACTGTAATATATAGAGGATTCATCACGAGTGTTTTTTAATATGGGAAATATCAACCGAGTCTTAGTTAATCGGTATTTGCCGAGCCTTTGGCGAGGCAAATACCGATTAACGGGACGAGGTTGATATTTCCCATATTAACAAACACGAGTGATGAATTCTATTTATCATTTTCACATTTTTGCTTCCCAATTAAGGAATAATTGCATTAAACATTAACATCAGCAACTTGTCGAAATCTTACGTATAGATCGTGCGTAGTGATACATGTTTTCCATAGCCGTGTAAACCAAAATAAACAACCTCTTAACTCCTTTATGACATATTCCTTCGCTGAGAAAAAAAGTTCCTCGGATTATTTTAAACAAAATACTTGAACAGACTTTTGCAGAATAATTGAAATAATGTCTCCAACATCAAAGGTATCCATGTTGTTTGTAAACACCTACTCACGTGCACCGGCGAAAAAAGTCCCACTTCCTGTTATCTAATTTGCATATCTAATTTGCATACTTATGTCATTGGGGTATGACATACATGTTTTTATGTCATAAGCTTATGTCATGGATAAATGCTTTAGTTAAATGATAAAAGGCCATCTTAAACGGTGCCCGTATTCCTGTTTCGTAGCATATTTTATTTGTAAGGTGAGTACGAATGCAAACAAAAATAAAAGACGACAAAACAAAAAATGTTCATTATTTACATTAATCTAACAGAAGGTCCGGAGAGTTCGCCAACTTGTAGTCACATATTCTTATTTTTAACTGCCGGCCAAAAGAAAGTATACAATTTGTTTTCATCAAGAATAACAAACGATATCAAAACGTTACTAGGCTGAAAACAGTTGCCAAAACACTGCAAAGTTAAGGTCCAAAACACAGCTAAAATACCCGTGTCATATACATCACGATTGACAGAAATGTCTTATTTGTTTCATTTTCAGCCACAATCAAACATGGGTGTGTACTTTCTGTTGCTCGACAGTTTAAAACGCCGCGTTTGTGCTTGAATAGAGGACGCGTACATGTAATGTTGAGAGATACACAAATACGCCATATTGCAGAATTTCTGCAAACTGTCTTTATGGGTATGGAGGTGTGTATACGGAGACGGGGAACTACATTGACAGTGTAAAACTATGTGACATGAAAGTAAGTGAGTGAGTGAGTGAGTTGGGTTTAACGCCGCTTTTAACATTATTCCAGTTATATCACGGCGTGTCAGCTTAATGTGGGAGTAAAGCCCGAAGTGATGCAGGTCTAAGACGTTTACCACTTCGGTGAAACCCACGAGCACGGATATGGTGCTGACAAACCTAGAAACATAATCGGGGCGAACCGGGATTCGGAACCCACAATCATAGGTTTCTGGCGTGCCCAAGGGACGCAACTCTGCACAGCGAATCGCGGCGCCTTAGACGACTGGGCCACCCGTGTCCCCTGACATGAAAGAGGAATCGATATATGCAGTGAAGTCATTAAAGCTATAATGTCTTTGAACGGCAGGTTTTCATTGTATTAGACAGTGTATAAATGAGCTGAATGTTTCTGTTTATGTATGCAATATTTCAGCATACAACTAGATGATAGCCTTCATGAATGTCCCAAATGGACTAGCTCAGCCGATCATCATGTATTTAATCACGAATTGTTGTCATTTGAAACCTGATTTCCCCATTTGATTCGATTCAAAGTCCAACCAGAATTCACACACGTGAATTGTGAATTTCTAATGAATATGACTTGCTGTTCATTGTCACATGAACAATTCAGTCACTGCATCAAGACTCCCTCGATACGTGACACTTGAGATTCAAAAAGTGAAACATTGTTTAGCGTGTGTTCAAGCTTTTACACATCTACTCAAAGCTCTTTGTTCATTCCCTTTCAAATATTCTTC